AACCCTCCCTGCCCAGTGTGATTCAGAGCCCCGCAGTAGCCATTCTAAGATTAGGAGACCGTTCCCCAAGAGCACGTGTCTTCGTGATCTGTTCTCCTGACAGGGTGAGCACTCCTCTCTGGGCCTGCTGGTGCAAAGCAGCTCGCATCAGTGTCGTTCAACGGAGTGCCCTACAACATGTCTAGGGTCACGTGGAGCACACCCCACTTGATAACCTTCAACATCTCACACCTGTAAAGGCACCGGGACGTTTAGCTGGCACCGCACTCGCCGCTTGCTGCCTCAGGCATACCTCTATGCATTTTTGCTGATTCTGTACCATTAATAAATGTCAAATACTGGCAATCTTTGCTTAGCATTTGTTGAAAAAATACACTGCTTGCCATTGTGCTTACACCTGTAGTTTCTGCTGCTCTTCGTGCTGCACTGAAGAAGCCACCATTTGAGACCTATTGTTAGACAGACTTGCATATTCTTTGGTGTGGGTCCATAAGAACTACCACTTGGTGGATGAACGCTTGCATCCTTCAAAAACTGGAAAAGTGTCCTAGTTTTAGCTGGGACAGAGGTTTTTTTTTAACAGCTAGAAAAGCTCCATGTTTTGGTTTTACTCAGAGGCTCACTCTGAGAAGAACGCTGATAACAAGCTGCCAAGGACTTTTCAGTGTGCCGGAGTGCAGAAGCACGGCGGGATAAGGGGGGAGCACAGATGGGACAAGGGGGACACGATTCCCCTTGTGATTTGTGTGGAACTTAAGACTGAGGGCCAAACTGGCCAATTAGTATTCCATATCATGCAGCGTCATGCCCAGTATAAAAGTGAGGGTCAGCTGGGAAGAAGGGCTTTTGCGCTTTGGCTTTTGCCGCTTTTGCTCTTTTGCGCTTGCTGTGTTTTTCGCTCTATTGCTTTTTTTTTTTTTTCTTTCCTCTCTCTCTCCCAGTACTCCCACTCTCGGAGTACTATCTCTCCCTCTCTGCCCCTCTCTATTTCGGGGCCTCGCGTTCGTCCGGGATTTGCAGTTTTCGGGACGAGATGGGCTTCGCATACGAGGGGGTGGTGAGTACCTATCCTGTGTATTAAATCATCTGTATTAAAATCATTCTTATCTCAACCCACGGGTTTTCGTTTATCCTTTAATTCTCTCCTTCATTCCTGGGGGTGGGGGACCGGCTGTGTGTGGGGGGGACGGTTTAACCTAACCCACGACAAAAAGGCAACCAAATACATTAATCGATACCTTGTATTTCAAGCATTGCACTAGAACACAACCATGGTTTAAACAGCCCTTGCCTCCCCCTTCCTGCAAAGTAAATCTTCAGTCTAGGAGACTAAGACTGATTGGTAGGACCATGCAACATAAACTACGTAGTGCTTTACAGCTGGCATCACTGGCAGTGAATCCAGAAGCCACATTTGAGACCATCTGCTAGGACCTGACACTTGCCTTTCAGCATCAGCCACCTTCCCCATCCTCTAGGGTTTCACAATTGTTAAGAGAAGGGTCAACATGACCTTGTAGAGACTTGAAACCCCCGATATACCTTATCAGTCAACAGTCAGATTAGGGTAAATTCACCACAGGGACTTTTTCTAGTAGACATTTCTCACCTATGGGTGGAGAAATCCTTTGTCCATGTGCTGCACTCTGTATGAAACACTGATTATTATACTACGATTATGTGAGCAGGATGGGCTAGTGTCACTTTGCAGGCTGTTGCAGACTACTGTGGGAGAATCACAGATGGCATAATAAATTAGACTCTGTATTCATGCTCCCTATATTTTCCACAACCTATTCTTCCAGTGAGAAACATAATTTTCCAGGACACATCAAATGTCAGAATCAGATTTTCAATCTGCATCACATATAATGCCGTGGGCAACCTGTTGTTTGGGTAGCATCATCTTACCCAAACAACCAAGAAGCACGTGTATACTTCCATCATGCCCAGAAGTCATGAAGGGTTAACCAGGGGTGTACATTTGGCTGGCTGGGTGGATGCTGGAGGAGCTCTCCACTGAGCATCACCATGCAGCTGCCACTGCCAGAGATCTGGGGCAGCTTGGCGCAGCAGGGCACAGACAGGGAATCATACTGAAGCTGAATTGGCATCATGTGTGTTTGTATAGGCCGCTTTGGGCTTCTTAACCTTGAAGCAACATCGCTTAGTGTGATAGCCCATCCGCCAGAAATCACTCCCAGAACAATGATCTGAGCCGGGATCACCTTCACACATCCAGCAGTCTATGTCTGGGGGCTCATCTCCTCTGCCCTCCCAGAAGCTCCATGGTGGTCCAGCACCAGCGTTTATTTATTTAAGAACTGCCTGGAGGCCAAACAATAAAAGGGCTTCTCTGCCAGACCCGTGTTCTGCCAGCATGCAGCTCCAGCTGTATTGTGCGGAGTGGTGCAAGTAGGATTGTCTGAGGGGAGGACTCAACAGGCAAGGTGAGATGCTCCTGAGGGACTGCCTTAGGCAGAGAAGATAAAACATGGCATGGTGTGGATCCTGAAGCAAACTTCCTTTTCTCATATGCCCAGGTTTCCTCAATGGCACTGCTAGTTGGTTTGCTCCAAACCAGAGTGGGCTTGTGTGTGTCCAGTGGAGATGACCAGGGTCCCACAAACAAAGCAGCATGGAACAAAACTGGCATCTACTTGTTTGTGCAGACGCAAGAAACCACATATGAGATTAGCAACAGCAGAGAGCTGAGAATGCCAGCATGCTTCCTACAGACAGGGACAGGAGCTCAACTTACAGAAACTTATGGGCAGCACAGATCTAAGTGTGATCAGTCTCAGATAATTACTAATTACAATAATCATTATTATACAGATTGGCTAGAATCTCTTTCTTGAGTTACAAAGCTGCAGGCAAACCTTGCCCTTGCTAATTAAAATAAGCTGTGGGAGCTGTGAGGTACCCAACAGCCTTTGCCTACTGGCGAGCAGGCACCACAGCAGCACAGCACCTCGATAAGCGTGACCACCACGCTGCACCATATACAGGGTGTTGAACAGGCTCTTTAACAGCCAGCCTAAAATGTTAAAGAATTAAACTCTACGTATTAGCATAATTCTAATTGTTACCAATTACACAACTGGCATGCCAAAAAGATGTTCGTAACTGATGACTTTCTCAATCATACTCTCACTTTGGTTTTCATTATTTCCTGGTGTCATTCAGCGTTTAGAGCCAAAGGAAATTAAAAAATCTCTCTGAAACCAATGTGGATGGTAGAGGAAGGTCAGTGCACATGGCTTTCTGTTCCCAAACTGCATCAAAATGCAGGGAAAATGTTTCATGATGGACTGTGAACCCAGTGACAGTCTAGGAAAAGAGAGAGCACTAACTGTTATAACACGGAGAAAAAAACAATTTTAAGTGTTTTCTGCAAGTTGGTTGTGCTTTTAGCCACATGTACCAAATATCCAGAGGTTGAACATCATGTGGCACAATGCAGGAATATCACAATGCAGCCCTATTCTTGCTCAAGGTCTTTCTATTTCTGAAAATTATTCAATATTCTGTTTTCCTAGGCTTTTCAAAGTACTTCACTTAAAAGCTGTAAACTGACTTTGAACTTTTGCGCCCTCAGAGAAGAAGAAAAATATAGTCATGTCACGGTTTAACCCAGCCAGCAACTAAAAACCACGCAGCCGTTCGCTCACCCTCCCCCAACTCTGGGAATGAAGAGGAGAATCGAAGGGGAAAAGAGAAAAAGACCTGTGGGTTGAGATAAGAACAATATAATAATTGAAGTAAAACAAAATTTAAAGTAATAATGATAAAAATAATAGAAATGATAATAATATATACAATTGAGTGATGCATAGGGCAGTTGCTCACGATCTGCTGACCTACGCCAGCCCGGCCTCAGCTAATGATCCCGAAGAAGAGAAATCCTGAAACCACAATCACGGAAGAGCAAGAGAGAGAGAGAGAGACTGAGCTTCCCAGCCAACCCTCATCTATATACTGAGCATGACATTGCATGATATAGAATATTAGGGCCTTAATCCTAACCTAAACTCAAATCCTAAAACAGGAATTGTGAGCCTGTTGGTCCAGCTACGCTCCCTCCCAGCTTGTTGTGCACCTGCACACTAGCAAAGCACGGGAAGTTGAAAAGCCCTTGATTTCCTTAGCAACAACTAAAAACATCAACATGTTATCAACATTCTTCTCATACCAAATCCCATACTAAATCCAAAACACAGCCGTTGTTCTAGCTACTAAGAAGAAAATTAACTCTATCCCAGCTGAAACCAGGACAACTCATTAAAAAAATTACAGAGTGAAAAAATGTGTGCAGTGTTTGGCAAAAAGTGTCCTGAAATGTAGTTAGTTAGACAAGCCTGTAGTCTGTATGTCTGAGAAACGAGGTTTATTTTCTCAAGTAAAAGCAATAAGTGAATTTCAGAATCTTTTGATACAGTATCTACCTGTGGTCTCAGAATTTTGGACCTCAGTGGCTATTGCTCCATGTTTCATTAAACTGTTAATTCAAGGGAACAAACACCTGCCTTGTTATAAAACTGCAGTTACACAGATACGTAACTTTTCACTGTCAAAATGAAAATCTAACCAAACTCTTTGTTAACAGCGTGTACGTGTATATAGAATTGCCTAATCTTATAAAATTTGGCTGAAGAGTTGCCAGATTCACAAGCAATAAATAATTATAACCAAATGAAAACTATAAAACAAAGTAGACTTACATAGGAATATGCATAAAACCAATCCTACTAATTATCATACCTAAGGAACAAAAGACTGGAAAGCAAAGTTACTTTTAACTAGCTGTGTTACAATTATAGTAAGTATGATTAACCTAGTAGTAACTGTAACTTTATGTATAAACACCAGGAATCACATTTATGCAGAAACCTCTTCAGAAATACACAGAACAGAACTTGGCAAAAAGAACAAGATGTAACTGCACATCAGTTGTGTGCTATACCTATGAGGAAGAGAATGCAAGTGGTAGGGAATTATTAGGTGGGGGAAGTTGGATTGGTTACGTTCTGGAAAACGAAAGAAACATTCTCTTTTATCCTTTCAAGGAAAGGATCAGCTAGAGTCTGATGTTGCCCCGAGAAATGTTTCCATTGCATCAGCTGTGACATGGAAAGTGGTTTCTTCGAATTAGGCTTCCCATGGTTTTGTCCAAGCTGGCAATTTCTAGACACAGAAGGCTTTTCTGGGGAAGGATCTGAAAAAAAATGATGCAGTAGACTCATCAGAGAAAACTAAGAAAATTTCAGTCTGAATCAATAAACCAGTTGGTGATAACAAATGAGAGAAAATAGAACAGCACATATATAATCCTTCTATGCCAATGAAAACCAAACGTAAGTATTCACAGTAAGAGGGGAAAGGCTGTTTCTTGCTCATTGAATTTATCGAAATCACCATATGCTAGCATAAAGACAAATCCTTTTACAAATGGATGGGAAAGGAAATATCTTATCTGACAATTTCCTCTCTTCTGTCTTCCTAATTCTGTAACATTTGGGCTGCCTTCATTCTTTAAGTAAATCTTGAATCTAGAAGTGTGTTGCAGCAAAATTCATGCTAGCTTCTATTTCCTCCCAGAGGAGTCATTCCAACCAGCTAGGAATAGTTTGAATAGCTGTTTCATTGACTGAGCACACTAGAGCTGGATCTCTAGTGCACTCTGTACATCCAGATTATGGCAAGTTTTTCAATATACACAATATTGTATACTGCATATCACAGTAAGGAAAAGACTGTTCTCTGTGAAGCACAAAGAGAGGAATTAACTTTGGACAAAGGATTCTAAAGCCTCCAACAGTACCAGGTCATTGCAGGGTATGTCACACATTGCTGGCTTCATGATTCATCTGATGCATGTGACAAATGAAGAAATTAGTTTGCTGACTTTAACCAATAACTGCTGTTATTGGTTTAAAACCTGTTGTCAAATATTTTCATAGCGGTGTTAGGTGCTCCTTAGGCAAGACCAATGATATGAGCTGCACGAGGACTCAGAGTGTTCCTGAGTGTTTTAAACTTTTGTAGAGCCCATAAAGACTCATCTATGCGAGACTTCCCCTTTCACTGACACATGACGCATAATTTGCGTTAGACTCGAAAGAGACTTTACTGGCCAGAAGTAAATTTTGAAGAGATGCACTTCTCAATCCTCACAGATTCTATGTTCCTAACTCCATAAAATTAAACTACAATCAGGTAAAACGATGTGGTTACAGCTTTGTAGCTGGTCTGAAAGCCAGAAGAATAGCAAGCAACCCATATGCATGATCCATGCACAGTTAATCGCTTCAAGACTCCTGTGGCTTCCTAAAGTTGACCCCAGTATGAATGGACAACAGGAGCTTGGTCAAGAATATACAGTCTCATTGGTATATCTAATGAAGATCATTATGAAAAACTCATATATGGTGAAGCCTGTATTATATTGTTTGGCTTCTCTTTAGTTTATCTTTTGAATCATACAGGCTGGTATATCTGTCCTCGGATAAACAGCTTTTGAACTTCTCCTTACTGTCCTAGAATATTTAGAAACAAAACACCATATAACGTCATTTGGTTGTAACAAATCACTAGTTGAGCTGGCCATAGCTAATTCAAGGAATTAAGAGGCATGATACACAAATTGGTTGTTACTGCAAGGAATAAGTATTTCCTCCTCTTCATCTTGTGAAGGGCTCCAATGGATTAGAAAAATCAGCCAATATCTAGAAGATGCCATAATGAACCTTGTAACTTCAATTCTATTTTACGTAGCATCCATTTTCTCCAGTGACAGACCATATATTCAGAATGGATGTACTTCCTCAGCCACAACCAGAGATAATGAAAAATAAACTCACTTTGATGGTCTTTCTTTCCCATACAGTCGCACTCGAGCAAGTCATGGGTAACACAGCTGGAATCTTCATGAAACGTAAAGAGATTTCTAAGCTCCTCAACAGAAAAATGGGTGTGTTCAGATGTTTTGGAAAGGTCTACAACTGCCCCAGAAAGGTCTTGTTTGCTGATCTGTCTTTGATAAATCTTTTCTTCTATTGAACCTGTATTGAAAAAAAAAAATAGATACACTGGGATAATTTTTGACCAGTGCTTGTCAAGAAGAAAAGTCAAATCTGTTTCTTGATAACAATATTCATAGGAAACACTAAGCCACTATTTTCAGTTATTCAAGCAAAAGCAAAGCAAAACAAAGGCAAATGAATCAATGTGATGTCTATTTTAACCAAACTCAGAAGAAATAATACATATTTCTTAAAAACAAATTATTTCTAAAAACACTCCCTCCCTTTCTTTTACGAACAAAATTTCAATAGCTGTCTCAATCTACGGTGTATCTGAGCACCATCTCTGACCTGTGGTTAGCAGTCTGTAGATATATACAGTGTGTTTCTGACCATCTCTCCACACTCTAGCCATTGCCTGAAGAAAGCAAAAAGATGAAGAGCATTAACAGTCTACTATACAACGGTATTGCAGCTAAAACTTGTAGCCTCCACTGATCAAACTACCAGTTCTGCTAGCTCATTCGAAAAGGTGTTGTTCAAAGAAAGCATTCCTTAGTACTTGTCTTTTTTTATATAAAAATCTTTTGGTATTAACTGTAAATAATTTTGAAACATAATTTACTTTCTGCAATTTATGCTCTCCTTTCTTCTTGTGTACTATAGTAGGAAAGTAGGGGTTTCACCTCTCTCCCACCAGAAATCCCCTCTTCATATCTATCTTCCAAACATTAGCAACTGTTTTTAATATTTCAGGAATACTCATCATTCTCCCCCATCTCCAAAATTGTTTTTTGCCACAATACATCTTTAAAAATGACTTTTCCATTTCTTTTAAAATTGTAAAATTAGTGTTTCACACTCCCTTTAATGCTTAAAACAAACAAAATGTAACTAAGTACTGTTATATGATTTTTTTCCATAAAGGTAAGGGTTACACCTACATACCAGGTACAAGTACCCGCAACATAGTGTGCAGTCTTTGGCAACCTGTAGCAATTTTGACTGATTTAGCAAACTGTGTTTCAAAGCAACAAGACAAGTGACCACATGAGGTTACTAATTCACACTTGGAACAGGAGCAGGGCCAAGAATCAGAGCTTATTTCAGGTATTAAGCACATAGCATTACTCTACAATAAAATGTTTCTTACTGTGCTTACAAAAAGATCCTTTTAAATCATTATTGTTAAGGACAATCCAATCATTATTGGGAGTACTGGTGGACGAGAAGCTCAATATGAGCCGGCAATGTGCTCTTGCGGCCCAGAAGGCCAACCGCATCCTGGGCTGCATCAAGAGGAGCGTGGCCAGCAGGTCAAGGGAGGTGATTCTCCCCCTCTACTCTGCCCTCGTGAGACCTCACTTGGAGTACTGCGTCCAGTTCTGGAGTCCCCAACATAAGAAGGACATGGACCAGTTGGAGAGGGTCCAGAGGAGGGCCACGAAGATGATAAGAGGGCTGGAGCACCTTTCCTATGAGGACAGGTTGAAAGAGTTGGGGCTCTTCAGCCTGGAGAAGAGGAGGCTCCGGGGTGACCTTATAGCGGTCTTCCAGTACCTCAAGGGGGCCTACAAGAAAGATGGGGAGAGGCTGTTCAGGAGGGCCAGTTGTGATAGGACAAGGGGTAATGGTTTTAAAATAGAGGGAGGTAGATTCAGGTTGGATATTAGGAAAAAATTTTTTACCATGAGAGTTGTGGAACACTGGAACAGGTTGCCCAGAGAGGTGGTGGATGCTCCATCCCTGGAGACGTTCAAGGCCCGGTTGGATGAGGCCCTGAGCAACCTGATCTAGTTGGAGATATCCCTGTTCCTTGCAGGGGGGTTGGACTAGATGACCTTTGAAGGTCCCTTCCAGCCCTAACGATTCTATGATTCTATGATTCTATGACTGTTTTAACAGAACACTCTTATGCCAACTAAATAATCTCTTGAGTCCAACAGTGCCATTACAGGAAGAGCACATCAGTGGCTTTGTTTTCTTTCATTTGGCATCGTTGCCATGTGATTTTCTCATTCTCTTAATTCTGATCAGAACCTCTCCCTTTTTCTCAGGTATGGCAAATTGACAGTAACATTTGCTATGCAGTCTAATCATGTTTTTCTTTTCTTTTTAGAAACACGGCAACTTTCCAGCTAAAAAGAGGTCAGGAGACAAAGGGGATACATAACTCACTCCTCCAAAACAACTAGAATTTAGTCTTTTCATTTTTTACTGCAAGGGGGCTTCTAATGATCTCAATATATAATGTGACAGAGAAATATTTATTCTTTTCTTCTCAGAAAGAGTTTTCTTCCAGTATTGTACTTGTCCAGATGCAATGTGATAATTGGGTAGCAATAAGACATGGAAGCCAGACATTTCAAAATCAATCAAGAAACCATTTTATGCCCATCCCGACCCCCATGTACGCAGTTGTTACCAAACCTGAATATCCGTAGCTGGATTCCAGTCGATGTCATACAGGATCAAATGAGATGCTCCAACCAGATTCAGTCCTACTCCACCAGCCTTTGAACTCAGCAGAAAGACAGAAGCTGGACTGAATTTACTATTAAAAGCATCAACGATCTGTTGTCTCTGGGAGACAGGAGTATGTCCATCAAGTCTAGTATAAGAGTATCCATAACGTTTGCATGTCTCTTGCAATATGTTTAATGTCTGAGTGTAATTGGATACCAGGACGACTCTGTCAAACAGTAGAATAAAGTTATTTTATCATCTTAGACCTTGGTGAAGTCCAATAACAAATTACTGAAGACCTCTAAGAAAATCAAATCACAAGTCAAGCAAAAATTACACACCAACCTGAGGCTACTCATATTTCCTGAGAAATACATCATTTCCTATTAATATGAAGCACATACCAGATTTGGATGCATTGCACCTAATGTCAAGCATTCACATGTTAAATAATGAATGTTTTCCTTCGCAACAGAATTTGGCTTAATGCACAGATTGCAGGGATCCAGAACTAAACACAGAGATAGATTTTTTTAAAAAAATAAATATCTTATTTATACAAAACAGCTGTTGTTAAGGCAGCATTTGCAGAGGTTGTCGTAGTAGAAAATAAAATATATATATATGACTCTACTTACTGAAAAAGCTACTGGAACTTCTGTAGACAACCTCGGAAAATTCTGCTAAACAAAATCATGAAAGTCAAATAGGAAAGCAATTACTCTTTCCTACGTTTTATGATTGAAAAGAACTGGGATGAAGGATGGTGAAAGATATCACAAAGAACATAGTCTGGATTTTTGTTGCTGTTATTTTTTTTAAAGCAAAATCAGTCTCTTGATCCCTTACACTAATGACCCATACTATGTCTGGGTTTTCTCTGAAATTTTGACTAAATAAGTTTCAGAGTTCTGCCAATCTAGAATTACTGTCCTCCTGGATATTGAGGATGATTCTGCTGAGAAGACAAAGAAAGTTCTTCTGAATTTAAGCCTATTATAAAATAATATTCTTCATTTTTAATATTATAATATTCTTCTGAATTTAAGCTTATTATAAAATAATAAGCACAGTTAGGGAATTTTCTGCTAGATCTTGTTTGGAGCTCCACAATATCAATAACTGTACAAAATTCCATCAAAGGTGCCTCATTTTTAAAAATAATTTTTTATTAGAAACAAGTACTGCAGAACTAGACAAATAATTTCAGGGAAAAAATGGTAAATTAACATTTTTTAATTGTTTTAAAGTATTTTTATTATTATAGTTGACTCTACAATCAAACTATATGCAAGACTTGTTTGTAAAGACTTTGCAAGATTGATTTTTTTGTCAATCAATCCCAAATTCATACCTTTGTTTTTACTCAAAACCAGAATATAAGCTTTATAAGAGGACTGGAATTGAGTCTGTATATAGCAAAAACTATTTAGTACTAATGTAAGCAGAGAAATAGAAGAAAAAGAAACATGATCAGCACTGAATTAAAGCAACAAAACTTCTAAAGATGTAAAATAATGCCTCAATACTAACTGTAACTCAGTAGCTCCTATAGCACTGATACAGGGAAAGGTGCTTTTTCTTGATACCCCTGTTTCTTTTGACCTACAAGAAATAAAGCCAGTACATATTTAGCTGTCACTGGTTTGAGTGGATGTTAGGCACATAAATTCCAATGACAGGCTCGGCTTTCTGATTTGTAAAGAGAGAGCATCAGGAACAAACAAATTCCATTACATCAGTGCCAAGAGAGCTGCTGTTACTTCCTGCTACTGAATTACAGCGTATCCTATTTAAGCATCAATTTAAATAAAAGTTAAAAGCTAAGTACGTTTGGAATAGCTGGGGTTTAAGGCATCAGTACATAAAAAAGTCATCATGGGATACAAGGTCATGTGAGATTTCCATGAATCAGCAATTCCACAGTAACTAACCATGTGCATCCCATTATCCCATGATAAGCAGAGGTTTTCCTACATGTCAGTGGCATTTACCAAGGGGGAAAAAAAGCAGTTGCTGTGCAGGTTCACCTGTTGAGTCTGGTTGCTCTGAGCAAAAAAGGCAGTAAGCACTAAGCAGTTAAACGTGATTTAAGAGAAAATAATTTATAATCTAGTAATTAAAAATATTTTAGTGCAATTTAAAATATTTAATAAATTAATATATCTCCTCAAGGAGGTACAAAGCATTGGAAAGTCTTTGCAAGTAAAGATAATATGTCATGGTACAGGGGCTGTAGCAAACTTAGCTGCTGGAACTCAGTATGAAAAATACAAGGATTTTTATCTGGAAAAAATATGAAGAGCAACTTTGGAAATTATGTCAGCTGCAAATGCTAGTTTAGTAATTTGACAAGGAAGAGCCTGGAGTACAGTGCATAAATATGCTTGCTACCTCTGCAAACAGTTGCAACACCTTTATTTTGAATATTAGGTCCTCATGCATTTGAAAAGCAGAATCATTATCTCCCTTTTATCTTTCTTTCACACTTGCCTTTCAGAAGAGTTGAGCTCATGGATTGCTGCCAACAACTTCACCAGCACCTGCAATTTCCCTGAATCTGTTTCAGAAAAAGTATCCCAAGTATAATCTTGTGGAAAGACATCTGTTAGACCTTCATAGAGACTGGACTCATCATGTTCACTGGACATAGGATCACAGCTTTTTTCCTATTGAAAAGAAAAGGATTCAAGTTCACTATCCCCTCTAATATGTATGTTTTGGGTTTTTTTAAAGTTTGCTATATTTTTCTTACAAAGACAAAAGGAGGCATCAAAAGCTGCCACAGTTTTAAAATACTGACAGCATTTATTTTTGTTTATAACCTCTAATCTAAGATGTTGTTTGCTGCTGAGTAGAAAGTTGAAATATTAAAACTGAAAAATGTGTTTTACTTCTACTTCTCTACTTAAATAACCACACAGATGTACACCCACAGCGAAGCTGATCTAAAACTTGGGGAAAAAAATCAATACCCTGTTTATTCTTTCTAAATTCCATAACACCTTATTATGGAACTTCCCAGTCATTGACTCTTTTAGGAAGATGCTGTCATTAAGATTCAGTTATGCAAGTGGAAATGAAGAAAAGCCAACAAGTGAAAACAATAAAATAGAAGAAATCATGTCATATTTTGCTGTAATTTGAAGTCAATGTTTCACAGGGAGGAAAAAGCCAAACTACTCAAACATCAAAACTAGAACTATAATAAATTACTTCCATTCCTATGGTTTCTAAAGGGTTACACTGTCATGTACGAAAAGTTTCTAATGCTTATACTATGAAGTAAAGGCACTGAACTTTACTTGGCAGCGTTGAAAGTTAGAGGGAGGTCTGTGCTGTGGACATTCTCACAAGCCATGAAGAACATCTTTTGAGAACGACTTTTAAGAAAGATTTACACTTCCACTCACCTTACCTGGCCTTTGACTAGTGGCCACAGAAGTTAGTATTACCAAGTTCTAACTATCACTTTATTTACCTATAAAAATGAGAACATTTCTATAGAAATAACAAGGTGCACAGTGTGATAGGATCCCAGGAGAAGTGGAAATGGAGACATCTAGTACCACTGACATCTTGAGCCTGCAGCTCCCAGTGTCACTGAGATTGATAGAGTGAAATTATCGTGTGGTCAGGGAGGTTTCAGTGGAACCAGCAGACGGAGTACACTGAATAATCTCTAGCTAACAGTGTTCTTTGTAAAATTCATATTTATATGTATTCTTACAAATATTCAGAGACAAGATTAAGAGTGGAACTACATGAAGAACAAGAAAATACCGTAAGGCAATAGGAAACTGGTGAGAGATCTTCACAGAGTACATTCAGATTTCCTAACATTTATGTTTTTGAAAGCAGATCCGAAGCAAGTAGTATGTGAGATGAGAGTATGGAAATGACCTTAAATAACATACACATTGACCATGGCACAGTTTTAGTGCCTGCTGAAATGACTACTTGCAGGCACCCACCCCCATGCAAACAGATACCTTTATAGCTCTAAACAGAAGACATGGATGATTGCAAAGTTTTTTCAAAGCTCCTATACATATTAGGTGAGGGCTGTTTTCTAGCCTGCCTTGTAGGCAGGACCTAATAGCTCGAGAACTAAGAAGTTTTCGATACAATTCAAGTTGCAGTGCTGTTGGTTGGCAGAAGATTATGCTCTCCTTTTTGGGTGGCAGAAATTTGTTTATAACCTCCTGTGTTCTCCTAAGAATAAAAAGCCCAGTGAGGCGTGTGAGTTCTGCTGCTCTTTTTTCTCCCAATTCCTTTTCCTCCTAAAAGAACAAAGCACAAAATTCATTATAATCTTGCATTTCATCACGATAATTTTCTGTATGATTTTAATAAGGTAATTAGAGAATATTTTAAATGTATGATACCACTTTCTGACACGAGACTGTAATGATCAATTCTTCTCCAGTCAGCACCACTGCCTTAGCTTAGTTCTAGGACTGGTTTCTAAAGTATTATACGAAGGAAGATGATGTCCCAGAAGACAGCCAAGGCTCAAATTAACGTTCTAGAATGTTTTGATGGATGGCATAAAATCATGCAGATTTTGCAGTACTGTGGAGGAACTAAGAATGAACAAAGTATCATCTATGGTAATTTGCATGGCATCTTTGGGAACGCAAGGTGTTAGAAGAACAATTTTTGCCTCATAATTAATAGACAGTTGAAATGTTGTGATCTCAACATGCATATATTCCTTCATCTGCCTTTGGAGAACAAGTGATTTTATTTCAAATAGGAAGGTGAAAAGCTTTTGCTACTATTAGTCCTGAACTGTATTTTATTCCATAGAAAGCAAATTTCACAGTGCTGTCTATGAATTTTCTTCTATAACTGCATTTTTTTTTAATAATATACCTCTGTTGCTGAAGGTTCTCTAGATCTGACAATCGGTTCCTCATATATCTTTCTATATGTGGATAAAGAACCAAGTATTCCTGGATTCACAAACTCTATTAATGCATAAAATTCTTGCAAGTCATTTTGGATTGGAGTACCTGGAAAGAGAAAAAAAAAAAAAAATTTCTGCATTTGGTAGATTTTTCTTGAAAATAATAGAAGCACAATCATTGAATGCAGGGTTTAATGTTGAGAATGCATCCTGAAAACAGATGTTTTGTTTCAATGTAAATTACTCAGAGTACTGAATTAATCTAGAACTTTATCATGATTAATAAACTACTATCCCCCTAACTAAACAGACTGCACGCCTGGTAGTTTTGACAAAGAAATTTAAAAAGTCAAGTTTCCAAGTCAACTTCATTAAGTAAGTACAAAGGAAAACAATGAGTGTATGTAAACAGAGTCCTGATTACCTCATAGAAGTTCCCAGGCTCCTTGCCTGTCCCTGAAGTTAGACAAATTTTGCATTTATTAAGAAAAAAAAAAAAAAAAAAAAAAAGAAAAAGAAAAGAAATAATCTGTTTTTACAAGACCCTAGATTTGTGCATCTAATACCCATTGCCAAAATTTATAGGTGCTCCTGCCATACTGACAGTGGCTTTTTCCTTTACCCCAATCTAACACCATTAGCATAGTTAAATATCAAAAGTAGCTATAGACACTAACCAGTAAGGATAATTCTTCTCTCACAAGACAGACTAGTGAGGGCTGAAGTTGTCTTAATAGAGCTATTTTTCAGACGATGTCCTTCATCACAGATGAGGAGGTTAAATTCTATAGCCTGAATTTGATCCAAAGATCGCAATAGCATCTCGTAACTGATTATCAAAACTGAATAAAGTGGAGAACCGATGAATTCTTCTACTTTGTGATCCTGCAAATATAAAGGAAAATATATCATATGACTATTTCTTTTGAGATCATTCATTACATTCCTTAAACATCCAGTGTCTACAGAAATTTTTCTAGCATGACACAAGACATAGTTACTATCTCCTCCATGAGGCTGGATTATTGATTGTTCCCTAATTTGCAAAGGAAATACGGGATCTGACACAGCAATTTAGAGTTTTACCACCTCATTAAAAGAAAAATTATTATTCTTTTAGGCCTTCAAATCCTTTGAGATACATTACCGTGAAGGTGAAAAGCACAGGCTCCCCATAATAGCTTCCCAGTCCTGGCATTTAGATAAGCTTCAAACGCATAATTAAAGCCAAGATAACGAAGAGGCATGAGTAGCTGCCTGTACATTCACTTTGGGATATCAAGCTGCAAGGTGCAGTAACGTGGTCCAGTAGGAAGTTACAACATTCCATCAACCTAAAATTCCTCTTTTAGTTTTGAATTGAATATGGTATTAACTTTTTACAAGCCCTTAACACTGATGGGCTGGCCAACAGGTAACAGCAGCCTGGCATTCAGAAAACAGAGCCCAAAACTAGCCCCAAAACCTTGCCTGTCTATTGGTAAATAAATACAATTAATTTCTAAACCCGTGGTCAGAAAATGGCCGTAAGCTCCTCCTCCCTTTTATACTCTTCAAATCCTTTTCCTTCAATAGACATCAAGACTTTTGTTGAATTTCTAAATAAAATAACTAGAACTAAGTCTGCTTATTACCAAATGTGACAATAAGAACAACCAACAAGCTGCCCATACAATAGCACTCAAGTCTGAACAGAATAGGAGTTGTGCAGTGCTAGACCTTAGACACAAAACCAGCTTTAAAAAGAGACACACTAAACTAAAAAGTTACTGTAATGCAATGGGGAGCTTCTTCCAAAAAAGTTTTCTAGAAATAGTTACATTTCTGTACAGACTTGTGAATGTACTAGGATTGCTTACTTGTCTTGCAATTATGCATAAAAATGGAAAAATCTTCTGTGGACACATCCCTTTCCTTTCCGCTTAGCTCCAGACACTAATTCCCTGCACGCCCCTTCCTATTTCCTGATGCTGTTCACTAACTAAGCAGGCGATGGGGCCAGCTGACAAGCTGGAGAACCTCTTTAATTGTGAAAGCAAATCAAGCTAAGGCTTCAGAAGGTATTTTTATTTCCAAACAAGATCAGTTACCAAACACAGACAACTAAGTCTGGAGCCAGATGGTGTAGTACACTGTAAAAGCAGCACCACTTAATTAACACAATGTTTAGAGCCTCCTAGCAGGTGAATCAGATGAAACTATGGGCCGAATCTGGCACATTAATCCCACAAAGTACCTTGCAGTAGATCAGTCCCCACATGCTGCTCACAAAGAGGCACAGCACACGTCGAAGGAAGCAAATTGTAGTGAGGAACAGGTAACAAGGGCATGCACGGATTACCCGGGTGTTTGGATGAGATCCGAGCATTCCTGTTGTTTCCAGGACTGTAGTTAACTGCCAGTTTTCTGGCCAGTATTTTTACTGCCAGATTCAAAATAGGAGCAGACAATTCCCCAACACAGGAAGAGAGACACAGAGGAGCTCCATAGGCAACACCCAGTGTTGCCCCTGCCCAGTACTCAGGCTCCACGTTGCAGCCCTGCAGACAGACACAATGCCTCTCTGACCTTCTCTTGGGATAGTCAAGCATCAGAAGACGCCTAGGGTTCAGAAATAATTTTGTTTTCCTGCACTTTCTGAGTATGAGACGAAACTATGGGGAAAGTGGTGGCAGCACTGGGGAACTGCCTCCAACATCCCTTCCCTGGTAAAATCATCAGCTGTTCTGGACCCCTTAAAAAACGCAGGAGAGCCCTGACATATCATAAGCCTCCTGCAGCCAAATATAACATGTTCACTGCTGTTATAACAACAGCAGTGGATGATGGACTAAAAATTAAAATAAATTTACAAGCTAATTTCATGTAATTAATTTATCCTCTTAACTGGCTGCAAGATATGTACTTATTATAGCCTCCATTTGCACAATTACCCAAAGTGACTTGGCAGGTTTAAGCGAGTTGCCCAGAGCTACATATGGAGAAATTGTCAATCAGTATTAGAGCTCCATAATGTCTCAGACTTACTCTTTGAACAGACCCTTCTTTGCACTAGTCCAAATCCAATATAGCTGGTGAAGTGTAAATTAAAAAATGCTGAATCATGAAGCAATGTAAACCTTGAATTAATTAATTCTCCAGATATTTTGACTTAAAAACCAAACCAAAACAACCCCAGTAGGAGTGATCCTCTGCAAACAGATAAAGGAGCTGTTCTCTCAAACACGTCCCAAATGCTGGTAACATGGATTAACAAGACCTAAATACAACCTTTGTGAGGACGCCTTCATTTTAAAGCAATATCCTCTACATGACATTTGCATTTTAACAGAAGTAAACTAATCACATTTTAAAAGCAGATAGTCCTGCTTTTTTTGAAGAGTCTGTTACTGAAGGGTTAGGATCAGTCTGCAGTGTTTCAGCATGAAAGTGAGAAAAACATGCCTTACACATTTTTAAAAGTCTGCCAGTTCTTTGAATGTATTCCTTATAGGCAAGAATAAAAAAAAAAAACCTTTGAGACAAGCTCTTCCTTTTAAGTTATACTAGAGAAATAACAGTATGGTAATTGCTGGTTTTCCAGTGAAGATAGACAGCAAATTATTTTGAAATACCTCATTATACCCCAGGCAAGTCATATTGTGTCTTCCTTTTGCATGACAACGTATTCCTTGCTATTTGGGAACACAATCTTAAAAGCTGCTGAGTATCCTCAATCCAAATGGCTTCAACAAGATTAGTAAGAATATTAGTTATTTAAATTAAGAGAAAATGAAGGCAACTGTCATTTTGGGTCATAGCAACTGTCAGCAAATTCAGGTTTTCTCCTCCCAACATTATTCATAAAAACTGCAAGAAAACATTCAATTCTTTCTAATCACCTTTTCAGGTTAAAATGTTGCCATATTGTATTTTGCCTTGAATCCACTTCTCACCGAAACTTCCATATTTCTCATCCTAATCTATATCACATTACAGTTCCTGACAAGTCAGTTGGTTTCGTTTCCACATCTTGAAGCAAGTAACTAAGTAAAGCGAAAGATGCAAAGAGAACCTATTACATGTGGATTGTCCTCAATGGAAGACAAGTAGATTCAGTATTTTCAAGGGTTTGACAATAATGAGTAGAATTCAAAGAAATAATTATTGTTACAAAATTTTTTACACTCTACAAAAGAGTTTAAAAGCAGTTTGAAAACTTCCATTTATTCTGAAATATTTACTCTTCCATACAGACAATAAGGATAATGCAAGAAACTAAAAGCAAATCTGATTGATGTAAGAATGGCGTCATCTATAGAAAGAAGTACTATTTTACGGAACTATTAGATTAAAAAACAGCTTTGGAAAATAAATATCTTTATCTTTGTTGCAAGAGCCAATGCAGATATTATAAGTTCTCCACTTCCTCCCACTGGCACAATTCAAATATATAGGAGCAAGGAAAAAGTAAGGGTATGGCAGATTGTACATAGAGAAACCGTAGTTTGCTAAACAACTTCTCTTTCCTTTCTGCTATGAATGCCCACTCCATACGGACATGAGGATCAGAAATCTTAGGAAAAGAAATACTGCATAGTCAATCCTAAAAAGCAGAGCTTGAATTTGAAAGCTTCAGAAGCATTAACGAAAGCACAAGCAAGTCTCCTGTTCACAGCTTCATGAACGCCAGTCCTGAGGGGACTCAACTCTCTGACTGAGATATTGAGTCATGCTTAATAGAAAAATATAGATGGCAAGAAAGCCTTACTGGATAACCAGAGCAAGATGTGGCTCTCCTCCAGACAAAGCTCCCAGTCAGCGATTCTACAGCCTCACTCCTTGAACTCCCCTGTCCTTTACTTTGCCAGGTGATTTGCTGTCTGATGTGGTCAATAAAGACCACTGAAGCACAGAGTCTGCACTTAAAACTTTCAGTCTTTGCAGTAAAGGACAGAGAGAGTTTTGTGTTTCAAAACCAAAGGCAAAACTCTAAATGTATGCCAAGGAGATTAAAAGATGAAATATTTTGTCAGCACATGGGATTCATCCAGGCCCTACAGGAACTTGGGAGGGTCATTACCAGTGGGAACAGCTCCACTATAGGAGGGACAGGGATCAGCGTCATCAGCTTCCTTAGTAAGATAAGTACTTGTCTGCTTTCTTCTAGAGACGAGAGATATCCACATCACCTAACACTGACCCTCTAGGCTTGGTAACTCATGAGACTTTAAATCATCCCTACACAAACCTAATTCTTGATAGTGACAGTAAAGGGCGCAACTTTCTGAAGTAACCTGAAACAGACAGACAACATAAAGAGGAGAAAGTTTTCAGTAGAGAATAAAAGCAACTACCACGGAAACGGAGTACAAGCCAGTCAAGGTAGATGCTCCATTACATAAAGCAGGGAAGATGTGCACTTTGCCTGACAACAGAAAGCTCTTCCTCAAACTGAAGAGGCACACAGAGGAGCATGGCACCTTTTACATCTTCAAAGGTGAAGCCTGAGGAAAGATAAGACAGATGTACGCTACACGGGCAGGTGAGCTTGAGTTACAACCTGGTTACTGACAGCTAAATGCCCATATAGACAATTACCTGAAGGAGAAATGAAATATTACAAATAAATATTAATAGAGAATTACTATTTTTGGTCTCTGGTTAAAAAAAAAAAAAAAAAAAGGAAAAAAAAAATCACAAGTCCTATATTCCAAGCCAAATATGACCTGATCCCCTTTTGGAAATAAATCTTACCTGATCAACTGTAAAGACTTTGATCCTTTCACTTCCCAACCATTTCTGAAATTCTTTTTTCCAGTTTTTTACCAGACTCCCAGGGGTAACAATTAGTGCTCGCCTTAGTACAGGTTTGCATCCATAGACCCCTTGACGCAGAAGAGTCCAGACAAGCGCAATGCATTGCAATGTTTTTCCTAAGCCCATTTCATCAGCAAGAATAGCTCCAAATCTGCCACTAACTCTGTAAGATATAATTAGGTGGTGGTAACATTTTAAAAGATATATCTATAATTATTTACAACTGGTGTAGG